ATTAGATTACGAACTGCCTTTATTTCAGAGAAAGTCAGGGCTTCACTAACGGTAACATTGCCATTGATTGGTTTTTTTCTATCATTTGCTCACTTTTTTTTATATCATCACAGATACACGCCATTCCAATTGTTCACTTCTTTCTCATTTTCTTCGAAATTTTCCATTTCACTTTTTTGACTGTTCTCTTTCTCTTTCCCATTTTTCATGTTTCTTTCAGTTTAGTACTTTTATTTGGTTGTCTGATTTCTAATTAACATTCATTGCCTCCTTTTTCTTTTACTATTTTCTTTTTTTTAACAGTTTTGTAATCAAACTTTTTGTTTTATCATTTACCAAACTCCCTCCCTCTAGCTACCTCTGTTACCAGAAAATGACAGCATTCAGGAAGCATACTAACCTATTAAGTTCTGTTTCAGTCAGTCACTGTAGACAAGTAATTAGTTAATATGTGCCTAAGGACTGTTCACCTGCAGGCATAAGTTGCACCATATATCGGCCAGAAAGGAAGAAGAAAAAATGGGACAACGTACTGAATGCCAGCTAACTTAGCTGGTGCAAAGGATTGCATTTGCCTTCACTCAGGATAGAAGGATCTAACAAATGGAAGAAAGCTACTTCTCATGGTATAATAACCCAGCCAAGAAAGGAAAAACTCCTTCATTAATTATCCATGCTATTAAGTCCCTTGTTTTATCAAATAACAGAATCAGCTTACTCTAACAAACAAGACTTGTCTGTTCTACATTTCCGCATGGGATGAAAAATTCCAGTTTCTTTTTCCTTGGTAATAGTCGTTTTATGTCTTCATCATATATGTATATGGAGTTTCATTGTTTCGCACATTATATGTAAAGGGAATAATATGCATTTTGTTAAAAATTAGAATAATCACATGAATGCATATCAAGGGACCAGCGTACATGTACAGGATTAATTGGTAACAATAAAATACCTTCAGATTCTATGCCAAGTTAACCCTCTCTTCAACTTTAATAAACAAAATAGTAACATCTAACCTTCAATCGAGTTCTTCCATCATTTACAGCTCTCTTAGTAGCTTGTAGCACATCATCATAGAAATAGCTCCTAATTTCTCGAGAATGAGGAATATTATTCAATCTAGTGGGAATTCCTCTCCACTCAACCTGCACATGTTACAGAACATTTGAAAAGAGTAAGAGAATTATTATTGCCATTATGCAGAGAAATGATACAAAAAATTTTGCAGGAAATAGAGAGAATGCTGTACAGTGTAAACCACATACATGACTGGAAGATGCTTCATCTGAAAGGTCCACAATTTCAAGGATTGGTTTCATTTGCATAAAGAATCAATTAACAAAGTTAGATAGCTCAGAAAAATATAAGTTTCTCAAGGATATGAGATCAAATTTAATTTTTTTTCTTTTCATTCACATATTACTGAAACCTTTATGCAGCCTTGATAAACTTATACAGCCTTCTTAATGTAAGCTGTGGTGTGTATATCAGATTGTTTCAATGAATTCCAAAATGGAAAAGAGATTGTATATTCCTCGTGAAAGAAAAAACATTAAGAAAGGTAACTTAAGATGACAAAGAAATAAGATCGGTAAAGAACAATAGAAGGAGTGCGCAGTCTTGGAAATGGACAAAAAGACCGGAGAATTACTAATCAGCTATAACTAGAAGGTGAAAAGATCGATAAATAAATAGCAATATGTGGAATATAAAAACTTTTCATTCCAATAAATTTATAATAAACGCTTAAGAAGAATACCAAAAGTTCCTTTCACATACAATGCCAAATAACATCATACACTTGAAAACTTGAAATCACTTACATGACCTTTTTATTTTATTTTTCTGCACCTGCAAGAGCAAAGATTCTATTTCTTTGAAAACTGCCTCTTTGGCCCGGTTCCCATCAATCTGTGTTTTCCATAATTTTGCAAACAAAGATTACTGATAAGAATTCCAATGATTAAGTTCAAAATAGAGGAACAGAACCAAGCAAATACCTTCTTCATTACGTTTGAGTATGTAGATAAGACTGCTGCTGCATTTCTTTTGTATATCTCTAGCCGTGATTTTACCTTAACAGAAATTCAAAAAAAAAAAAGAACTTCCAAGCAGAGGTGATGCAAGGAAATGAATGGAGAATTCAACAAAAAAATGCAGTAAAATCA